CCCTGCACAGACAAGATAAACTCAAACTTTTAACAGGGCATATAAAGCAGGATTGACAGACAGCACAGGTTATGAAGATAACAATCCAGTACAATACACTGGGAAGGCTTACTGTATGTAAAGAACTTAATGACATATATTAAGTATGGAGGTTAACCCAGAGTAACAACAGCATATTAAATAAAAAAGTAGTGTAGGAATCCATAAATTATGTCCTTTTTTTTTTTTGCACATTTAATAATCTAAAAAACATTAGCCATTAATGTTCAGGTAGTTCATCAAGTACGTATAACAAAACTCACGTTCTATCTATAATACTTCTAAGGTTATTAAGTTTTAAAATTGATCAGGTAATTTATGGACAGACTATACATTATTTTGCACCAGTAAATATTATCAAAGACTAAGTTGTTAAAATATCTAGAATAAAAAGTAAGTTTGAGAGAAGGTGTTGGTTCCTGTGGGGGAAATAATTTCATATAAAAAGCTGAATGTAAAAAAAGCACAATAATATCACTTCAAAAAGATCTTATTCGAATAAGTTTACTTCTATTGGAAAAGATAAAATGAGATAAGACACATAACAGTACCATACGCTGCTATGTGACTATGTTCTTGCAACATCTATAACGAAGGAATATGCAAAAGAAGAGATATAAAACCATCTACCATAAAGTTACACAGTTCCCCATTTATAAACCACCATTCCTTACTACTCTAGAGAAATGAGTTTGTTTTTTGGCATTCATTCTCATATAAACCTGTGACTAGTTGACTCCACTACCTGGCTAGTTAAACCACTGATTATTCCCTTATGGATAATGATACACAGCTTCAAATAATAACTTATGTTGCGAAACAACATTACACCACGAAGATTAATTTATTTTCCCATTTTTTATAATAATATGCAATGAAAATCTCGTGAGGTTTTGGGGTCATATCAGTAGTTGAAAGTAGGAATGATAATATTTTTGAAAGGTGTGTGTATGTGTGAGGATATATACAATGTCTATAGGATTAACAATCATTTTCCACACTAACGTGACTCCCCAAACTTAAAACATGTTATTATTATTTTTTTTTACTTTTATCCTTAGGCGGTCGGTTACGCACTGTTGGCAAGTACTAGCTCCTAAATGTATCTGAACCTGCTCCAGTGTTAGTCAAGTCTGGTCTTGAAAGTGCTAACACTCTGAAAAAGTGAGATTTGTTAACTCTTGGAACAATTTGCCAGTTTTGTGACGGCACCAAAAGTGAGCTCTTTCAAGAGATCTTATAACACCTTAGTGTTAGTCCAAGACACACATTATTAATGTCTTTTCACAAATACTGTATACACAAAAACATTATTATGACAAATGTGAACCTCTGATATCACCCCTTCAACAATATCCCTGAGACTAACAAAATAGAGCTCACTACAACACAGACTTCCAAGCTACCAGCTTTTATATTACAATACTGTACATGGATCGTTCAACATCACATCAGAACACACGTTACAACACCAAGAATAAAAGAATGACAGCAAATGATGGGAGACTACATTAATTACTCTTGAATTTGGCTACATTGCATTACAGTGAATAATAGCCTGAAAGAATGAATATAAATATTGTAACTTGATTTGTAGTCACAACCAGCTGATCAGGCAAATTAATTATCACCTCCCCTTTTCTTTTTATTCACAAGTTCACACTAGCACATTCAGGAAGCAGCAGTGTGCATAACAAAAGGTGACTGTGGCATCAAAGCATACTGACAGATAGGTGGCATCAAGTGCTTTATGGGGATGAACAAGCTGTTGACATGTGAAGCAACAGGGATAAAGACAAATGTGGGGTGTCTCCAAAAAATTTATGCAGTACACACTACCTTACTGATTTTTGAGGAGACTGCATATATGCTTGTACAGCATTACAACAGCAACTTTGCCCTCACTGTAGTTGTAAGAAACTTTGCATATCAACAAATGAGGATAATGATGCTGTTGCAATATATTCATGTGATCTTAACAAAAATATGTAAGGTAATGTTTATCCATTTTTCTGATACAATCTGTAGACATTTTGGGGCATTGTTGTAGAAGGCAAACACCATCACAGAACACATCTTTTCCGTATATAAATGACGAATGCAAATAAAGGGGGTATGTTTGCCCTTGGTTCTGGCCAATCTAAATTATAGCAGAAAATGAAAAGCATCTTTAGTTGTTGACTATACAGGACAGGTAGCCCTGAGTGACTAGTGCAATAATGAAATACATGTACAGTGGTCCCTCGGTTAACGAACGCCTCGGTTAACAAATTACCTTCCATAAGAATATTAAATTCGGTTAACGGGAAAAAATTCGATTAACGAATCCCTTACGAATTCCTCTCAACATGTTTTCGCTTGCTCACCAGCTGGAATATTAGTCCGCCAATACAGTAATCGGTTCTAGGGCTTAAATTCGTCCCCATTTGAGTAAATATCAAGAATTTTCCAAGTTTTATATTAAAATTTTTAGTAATTTTAACAATTATTTAATATAATTGAAGTACAGTATAGTCTGGATTTACGCGGTACCTTGCCACAATTGAAATGCTTTAATTACGCGGTAAATCTGGTCATTTACGCGGAGAGTGTCTGGAGGTCCAGACGCGCCGCGCCATTTTGTATTCAAGCGGCCCATGCTGGACCACAAGCAGGGGGGAAGCGGCGCAGGGAGAGGTGCGCAGTATGTCACTGTTGCATTATCGGTGAAATCATATGACGTATCGGACTGTGATTGGGCCACTCATCCTTACCACCCACGCATTCCCTTCGCCCCTTCGCCGCTAACTGTGATTGGTCTAATGTAACATGACATGCCCTGCCACCAGAGGGTAGAAGTCGCTGACCTAGCAGGGCTTGTCTCATTGTTCTCAGTCCGCGTATACAGTTCTCTCTTGTGCCCGCTATTCCCCTCACAACTCACAATGGCATCCGCGGGACCCCCACCACCAGAGAAAACATTGAATTACCTGGACCAAGCCATGATTGTGTGAAGGAAATCATTGAGTTGGGGGAGAAAATTAAGCTCATCCTTAACAACGACCCAGACAAGCATCGGTATGAAGCGTCTAATAACCATCTGACGAAAGTTATGGAGCTGTATATCCAGATCTATCTCGACAACATCAGTGATAGTGATAGTGACGATATGGACTTTGAGAGGTTTGTCTGGGAGGCCCTGCAAACCTCTGCGAGTAGTGAAAGTAAAAGTGATTCACCGGAGGGCAACTAATCTGCCCTCTGCCTCGGAACCAGCCACCATCCACGTGTGCCGACCCAGCTTTTCTACTAACTTAAATGTTAAAAAACCTAATATTATTGATATTTCTCTATATTATTAATTATGTGTGCATACCATCATAAAATTAAGATGTTATTTTTACTACAACGTACATATTGTGTCGGCAAAAGTGGAGTTTGGGGATCGGTCCAGTCTCTATTTCATTTAGTCCCATATGTTCTGTTATTTCATTTACGCGTTTCTCGTTTTACGCGGACCTCCACGGGTTCAATTGACTGCAAAAATCCAGACTATACTGTACAATAAAACTAGTTTTTAGTGCGCCAAACAGCCACTCAACTCACCAAACAGGCGTCAGTTTGTATCTCTGGTCAGTAGAGGCAACATCTTGCTTGAGACTCTCTTGAACATAAACTATTTTTACATTTTTACAGTACAACTATTGGTCATTCTTAAATTTATTTTACATATTGACAATATATAGTGCAGTGCAGTGTTGATTTAAAGAAAATAATCTTGAATTACACCTAGTGAACTTAAAATTTTATGGGCGAAATGACGGCATGAAGCATGGGGTGATTTCTGTTCCACCCCCACTTCCTTCTCTTCTCCCTTCTCCTCCACCCCCACTTCTAATTCCCATCATCATCATCAACCACGAGCCTTCTACATACACACCTCAAAGTAAGTGTACCCTACTGCATTTTTTTTTTACTTTGTAATTTTCGGTGAGCTGGAACCAATTACCCCAAATCCCATTGAAACAATGGTTTCAGTTAACGAACAACCTTCTGGAACGAATTGTGTTCGTTAACCGAGGGACCACTGTATGGTACTAATCCAATCATTGTCTGGTTCCTACAAATGCCTATATGAAGCTAAAAAAAGGAAACCATCAACAAAATATACCTAGGAGTTTCACAAACCAATGTTTATTTCTTATTACTTATGTCTTAATTTATTCTAAAAAATTAAGAGTACTTATTGATGTTCAGGGATATAACAGTTACTCATGTCCCACAAGAAAGAGGCCACCCCTGCTGTGACAAGTTGAAAGAGCTTTAACTCCAGACTGTGGTAACATAATATAATTCTTTCTGATGAACTCGTGTGTGATCTTAAGCAATATCAAGTTTGCTTAAACTGCATTACAAGTTATGATGTTCACAACTGCTAGACACACATTGAAAGTACTCATTCCTATGTCCTTCTCTTGGGACAGCAATGAACAATCATATGATAATTTAAAAGAGAAAGTCAGACTATATGTGGATTACTGAGGTCCAACTGCAACTCAGTCAATGACACTACAGTAATCAGTGGTCCAATGTTACTAAAGTTAAAAACGTCAACTCACCAAAGTGACTCGCAAACCAAAAGCAAACTAAACCACTATACTTTGGGCTGAACAATCAACTAACTTAACTCAAAACTAATCATACTTACAACTTCAGCTATTATCATTAGACTAGTGGTCCACTGGTTCTCAGATTGGTTAATATATTATAACAGGTTATTGAAAGACTGTACTTGACCAGTTGACAATAATAAAGTGGCTCTTCCCATCCAACAAACTATTAACACAATGCTTCTTAACATGCCAAAAACAATACTCTTTGATACATAAAACATACAATAGCAAATTTAGAAACTGGACCTTTCTATTTGGTTGTCACTAAGTGAACCACATGTGTTACTCTTAGTTTACCAATTTTCTTACCTTTCAATGGGATTCACTTCTCTAAACATTGAAAAAAATTTTAGCTTCTCAGTACACATACATATTGTCCATTAAATATATACAAGAAATAAGTAAATATTTTGTCTACAACACACAGTATCTTCATTAAAAGTTTTTTCATTACTACAACAGATGCAATACTCTAAGTTGGTCTCATGATTAATCATGTGTTATAACAAACAATCTGTCCAATTTCTTTCAACAGCATAAGTATCTTCATCTATTTACCAGTCTAATATATTATTTTCAAAATATACTGCCAATACAGTGATCATCAGTCATCAACTGAAAACAATATTTATCATTACTCTGTGCATATACCCACCAAACTGCTGATTAATAATGCACAAACACCAAAAATTCACAGCAGCAAACTCATAGGAGCACTAGCACACAATCTGACGCACACACATACAATAACTGTTTAAGAAAATACTGTCATTACCAGGTTCCTTAAATATTACTAACGAATCTGTCAGGAACAAAGACAAGAAAGCTAATATTTATTACAAATAAAGATACCCTTGTGAAAATATGCAGTTTTATGTACAGTAAGTTCCATATTGGTGTCAAATGTTGTCCACCTAATGGTAATAAAACTAATATTACAGAACAAAGATACTCAAGTAGAGAATCTTAGCTCAAAATATAGCTTAGAGATCAGAGTAGCTAACAAGTGGAAGGCTATGAAATACTAAACTGAAAATAATCAACAACAGCATTCCATTTACAGTATATACGTATTTTTTTCTCAATGTTCATATTTTCATGAGTACAGCAGAACGTCGATTTAAAGCGATTCAATTTAAGATTATTGGTTTAAAGCGACACCCAAAATTAAGGACAATGTTTTAACTTAAAGCTATCTTTCCTATTTTGCGAGAGTCAATCTGGCGCATCATATTTTAAAATTCGCGCCTAATGTTTCTCTGGGTATGCTACACTGTCCTAAGGGCAAAGCTGTACTGTACATGTACTCAAAATATTGTACGAAATGATTACTAAAAGTTTTGTCTCGTGAAAACTATAGCATGATTATATTCCAATTAATCACTATATTATAAGAATTCAAGCAATGTAAATTATATTCTCCCCGGTCACTTCTGTGACATTTTATAAACAAAAAACAAAAACTCAATCTAAAGGACATAAAGAAACAAATAAATACTTCACTAGACCTTCGGCGCCAACTGTCAATCGTGTCACTGTCACCTCCCGAGCAAGGGTTGGGTGGTTATAGGCTTACAGTTTTTATCTTATATAATATCACAGACTAAAGTTTGGAGAATATAATTTGCATTGCTGTAATCCTTGCAAGACAGTGAATAAATTGAATATAAACGTCATATCTTTTGCAAAAGAGAATTTTTTTTAGCCCCTTGTAATAAAATTAATTAGAACATGTCAGTTCAGTGACACTTCAAAAGAGAAAACTTAAAGTCACTCTTAAGGACAGATAAATAAATAAACACTAAACCTTGGCATCAACTGTCAAGCATATCACTTCACCTCCCCACCCCAATCTTCCCATCAGCTGATCGCTAGTAAACAGACCATTTCACGTCCCATAATTTTAGCTGTGTTGATTTATGAGTGTTTGTTTTAACCTAATATTACAAAAAACAATGTTTTGTTTATTCTAGGAGATGGGTTGAGGTGCATCTGGGTAGACTCTCAGTCTTTTTAGTATTTTGTGTTTCTCTCAAGTACCAAACTAAATTATTCCATTGAAACAACACTTTGATTTAGTGCGAATTCGGTTTAAAGCGAACCTCTCTTGGAACATATCTCATGTTGTATCGACGTTCTACCGTACAGTACAGTACTGTACTTGTATATTTTTTTTACTCTGATACCAGTATAATTAAAAATATTATAAGATTATAGCTCTTGTAAATGCACTTCATAATTCAAGTTTTAAAAGGCTGGTTTTTCACTTCAAACGAATATTCATATACAGTTGTACCCCGCTTAACGCGGTCAATTGAACCCACAGGGTACCGCGTTAAGTGAACAACAGAACATATGGGATTAATTCCAATAGAGACTGGCCCGACCCCCAAACTCCACTTTTTGACGACACACAACTATGTTGTAGTAAAAATATTATATTAACTTTATGATGGTATGCACACACAATTAATAATTAAGAGAAATATCAATACAGTGGGGTATGCTATAACGAACGGATCCTACTACGAATATTCCTATAACGAACGGTTTTACCTATAAAATTGAGAATGCTATAACGAACGAAACTCCTACAACGAACATTATTTAATTTTTTTTTTCTAAGTTATTGTTTTTTATTACAAGTATTAATGATATTCTTTATTTCAGGGGTTTAGATGCATATTTATGCACTTTTTTACAATTTTTACAATTTTATATTATATTTTTCAGTGTGAAGTGGTTGTATTTGGGGGCCTGGAACGGATTAATCCTATAACGAACGAATGCTATAACGAACAAGGATCTAGAACCAATTAGATTCGTTATAGCATATCCCACTGTATTAGGTTTTTTAACACTTACATTAGTAGAAAAGATGGCTGGGCACACGGGGATGGGCGGTTGGTTCCGAGGCAGAGGGCAGATTATTGGCCCTCACCTGTATCACTTGTATCACTATCCACCACAGAGGCTTGCAGGGCCTCTTTGTCAAACCCCTCAAAGTCCATATATGTCCATATCCTCACTATAATTATCACTATCACTGACTTGGGCAGGCTGTGGTGGGTGGCGGGTAAAGAACTCGGTAATGTTTTGATGACTGGGCGACCTTGTGCGCATTGTGCCCGCGTATATGAGTAGATGAACCGCGTTAAGTGAAAGTTCGGTTCTGACGAAGCACCGCGTATATGAGAAATCGCGTTAAGTGAAACCGCGTTAAGCGGGGTACAACTGTACTGTACAGTACAGAGAAGGGAATAAATACTGTATCTATATACAGCTGCACCCCGACTTATGACAGGGCTAGGGACCCAAATCCAGGTTGTAAGTCGAAAATGCTTAAATAATACAAAGAAAATCTAAAATAGGTGTCTCTTTTTCTTTTCAGCACCACAAAACTCTCACTTTTAAGCTTGCCAGCCATTTTAAAGTGAATTACAAACTAAAATTTTGTCAGTACACAGCGCAATCACTGACGTTGGGACTCGAAAATACGTAAGTTGACAAAATTTTGGTACGACTGAGGCGGCCGTAAGTCGAGTAGGCCATAAGTCGGGGAGGAGCTGAATACAGTATATAACCCCTGCACTGTACTGTACTAATGAAAATATGAAAATTGAGAAAAAAATTTGGAACAGTGTAAGAAATGGCTAAGGAAGTAAAGGAGGGAGTTCATTAATAGTGGCATCTCTTGGTACAAGTGGAACAAGCTTAGCAACTATGTAGTAAGTGCTGGAATGCTGGAAAGCTTCAAAAAGAGGCTGGATAGATTCATGGATGATAGAGAGTGGTAGTAACTCTCGACAGGAGCTGCTATGCACAGGCCAACCGGCCTATTGCAGACTCCTTACTTTCTTATGTTCTTATGTTCAATAGAGAGGAGACAAAGCCTGAGAGAAATTCAATGTTAAGTGAATGTTTCAATAACATGTGTGTTAGTATGGAAGACCTAAGATGCTTCACCAGGACAGGGGTGCATGGAGCCCTTAGCACTTGTTCCTCCTCCCCTTAGATAATAAAATACAAGGCAACATAATATATACAGTACTATGAGATAAAACCAACAAAACCAAGAAACAGTAGCATCTGAAGGGATAATGCTTACTAAATTGTGTAGGAACTTACCTTAGACTGCCTGTTTCTTTCTTCTGTGCCACATCCAGCTTGGTTACAAAGGTCAACTTGCCAGTATCATCCACAGAGTATAACATTGGACAGCACCCATGGCCCTAAAAGAGGAATATTGTTACAAAAAGATTAAGAAGTGAAAATGGATCTCATGGTTATAGCCATCCTAGGTAGTGAGAAGAGAAAGTCAAATGTGCTCGATAGAGAGTTGTACAAAAGGGAACAATTTAGGTCAATCAAAGAAAGTTTATTGAAGACATATCCAGTACATGTTCACAGACACAAGCATGTTTCATTAAATAATTCTGAACATAGGATCAAAGGTTAAAAATACGAATGCTAGTAACTGTTAATACCAAGGAACTTATAAGTAATGCTATAAGTGTAAGACTATGGCTACTTACCACTGCCACCAGTGATTTTAGTGAGACCCAGGTTACAGCAGTAAAAGGTAGATACTCCGTTTTCAACTGGGTTTTGGCCATTTCCTTCCCAGCATCGGCCACAGTGAGACTGGAGTCATGGCCCACCCAACACACACGGTTACCATCTCCAGAGAAACTCACACTGTGCACCCAGCCCCCTGCACAAAAATAAATATATATTATGGGCTGTTCCCTGTGAGTAAATAAAATAATAATAATAAACGGTTTATTAATAGCGTTGCAGCCGGTGGCTGAAAATACAGGTGCTCCCCTACTTACGACGGGGTTAGGGACCCAAATCCAGGTCGCAAGTCCGACATAGATAAAAAAAATAAATAAATAAAAAAAGAATTCAAAATTTAAAAAAAATAAATAAATAAAAATCTCTAATGAAATACAGTACACTAAATGTAATAAATAATGAGGAATGGATACAGTACAGTAAAAGTAATAAATGATGAATGGATACAGTACAGTAAAAGTAATAAATAATGAGGAATGGATACAGTGTGACTGAGCACTTACCTTAAATGTAGTCAGCTGAATGCACACAGGGCCCCCATAATTTTCTATTTACAGGATACATGGAGACTATGTTTATTGGAAGAAGCAGAAGAGGAGACAGGGCTGGGTGGATCATCAATGTCACTTTCTTCAGACAGGTTTAAGTGCTGTGAAAACTTGCTGGTTGAAGGTACTGGATCATCTTGAGGGATTGAAGAGGCAGCACTGGTGGGGCATGAGGAGACAGCACTGGGGGGGCTTCTTGAAATAGATGTCCAATTTAGACTGCACAGTTTGCTTTTCTTTTCATTATAAATTTCTCTGTAGCAAGCAAATGCATCTTGGATAGTTCTGTCAACTTTGGCATAACGTTCATATAATTTTGATCCATGCCATCAAACATTTGCATTGCTTTATTAATTATAGCAAATGCCTCTGCCATTTGTTTCACTGAAAACTTTTTGGGGGGTGCAGGTTCTTCTTCTACATTTTGTCTCTCTTCTTCCTCTGCAATTTTCTGTGCATCTAGTTCATTAAGATCCTCGTTACTGAGCTCTTCCGCTACACTTTCAACCAACTGTCCAACATCTTCATTATCAATTTCTAACTCCAGCTGTTTACCTAACTCCACTATCTTGTTACTAATATCCGAAATAACTTTATTTTCATTAACTCCTTTGAAACTGTCCGCATATCTTTTCAGGATTTTCTTCCATATTCCACTCATGCAATGTTTTGTAACCTGATCCCATGCTGCACTTATGTTCTTTATACATGACAAAATGTTGTACTCCTTCCAAAACTCTGAGCGTTTTCTCACCTTCAGTAGCAGCAACAGCCTGAGCGAAGGTCGTGCATAAATAATACGCTTTAAAGGCAGCAATAGCACCTTGATCCATGGGTTAGATGATATAGGTAGTGTTAGGTGGAATGTACACTACCTTAACATCAGGGTGCATGTCGTCCAGATGTGGTGGGTGTCCCGGAGCATTATCCAAAATCAGTAAAATCTTGAATGGAATCTGTTGTTGCAGACAATACTCCTTGGCTCGTGGAATGAAACAAGTCATGAACCAATCCTCAAACAGTACTAGGGTCATCCAGGCTCTCTTATTACTGCGATAAAACACTGGCAGTGTGTGCTTGCTTACATGTTTAAAAGCCCTGGGGTTCTCTGAATGATAGATCATGAAGGGCTTTAGCTTGAAACCAGCAACATTCCCCCCCAGCAGAAGTGTAATTCTGTCCTTGAATGCCTTGAATCCGGGCATTGTTTTCGCCTCTTTGTGGATGTATGTCCGCTCAGGCATGCGCTTCCACAATAATCCAGTCTCATCCACATTGAATATTTGCTCAGGCAAATAATTCCCTTCCACAATCACATCATCTAACTCCTCTTTAAAAGCTTCGGCAGCACCAACATCGGCACTAGCTGCCTCTCCACTCACCTTAACATTGTGTAGACTGTAGCGTTTTTTAAATCTATCAAACCACCCATGACTTCCTGTAAAGGTTTGATCACATTCATCTCTTGCCTGCTCCTTCAGGCTTTGAAACAGGCTTCTTGCTTTAGCCTGTATGGTTAGAAGGCTTAAGGGTACACGCTTCTGTATCTGGTCTTCCATCCATATCACCAATAATTTTTCCATATCGTGAATAGGACCTTGTCTTCACTTTGATATTATAGCTCCCTTTATAGGTGTTGTTCCTTTCACTACTTCACGAATACGTTCCTTGTCCTTCAGAATAGTGGATATAGTCGAGTGTGAGAAACCTAGGTCGCATGAGATTGTTGCTACTGTTTTTCCATTCTCATGCTGTGTTATTATCATCATTTTCATCTCAAAAGTAATTGCCTGTCTCCTTTTCTTTGGAACACCACCAGCACTCTCACTTTTAGGCTTTCCAGTCATTATAAAGTCAATTAAATATGATAATAACGAAAGTTCACAGCGCGATCAGTAAAGGATACGATAGCCAAACACAAACAAAGCGCTCCACAGAGTGAGTGTACCCACTCGCCCCGGACGGAAACGTTTCGGGATAGAAAATGCGAGCGTCATTTGAAAATATTTTTGGTCACGACTGCCGCAGTCGTATGTCCCGACGGACGTACGGTCAAAGCAGGTCGTAAGTACCAATGGACGTAAGTCCATGTGGTAGTAAGTCGGGGTCTAGCTGTATACAAACTTACATGTGATTTAGACATAATAATATACGCTCAATACATTTACAGGGCTGTACAGTACATAAATCAGGAGTTGTTTATTATTTTAACAATAGTTGGAATGGTGCTATTCTTATATCTATCGGTGCGGGCTCTTATGGGCTGAATTTTGTTGTAGTGGAGGACTGCACGAGTTGGGTGGGGGGCTGCCGGTGGCAGGAGGTGGCGATGACGAGGGTGGTGCAGTAGTCCACTGCCAAACCTTTCCAGTGCTTGGTGGTGGAGATTACTGAGGGATGGAATTTCCAGGGTGGAGAGAGCATTGGTGTAGCCGGAGTATTCTGCGCCGAGCATGATTCTGCAGGCCCTTTTCTGTACCTTCTCCAGCTAACGTTGTTGGGTGGAGTTGAGAGAAGACAACCAGGCTGGTGACGCATACGTTAGTTTGGGGAGAATAAAAGCGTTGTAGATGGTCCTCAGCTCTAGCAAGGGTGTCCCAAGTGACCTAAGTCGTCGTAGCATGTAGAGTACTGGTTTGTGTGAAGCATCAATAGCACATCAGACAGATCGTTGGGATCAAGTCTTCAAAAATTATGATAAACAAGACCAAAAACTTCATACCTCCTCCAATAGGTTCACATTTACAATAACTGATATATAAGACGAGAAACCTTCATACCTCCTCCAGTGGAATTAGAGAACTCCGTCATAAGTTGGCCAAGAGGCATCTTCGCCCCCCAGGGAGTTGGAGTTGGTTTTGGCTCAATGTCTTTAATCCAAGCCGAAAATATGCGAACCTGTGGGAAAATATTTTAAATAATGTATGATGATGACTTAACAACCTTATTATAAATGTCTCCTATTTACTTTATACAGCATTTGCTGAACATAAATTTTGTTAAAAAGATTCAATAACTCTTTCTAAATTAACTATGAATATAATAATAAACGAACAAGAAATTAACAATTGCTTTGTACTGAAACAGTGAGAAATTGAACCAGTGATGAGAGAATGCTAGTGATTTATGAATCAGTCTGCTCATATCAATACCTATGAATTAAATTTTATACATATATATATTTTTTGTCACTATAGTCGACCCTCGTTAATTCGGACCCCTTTAATCCAGATTTTGGATAAATCGGACGAAATTTGAACTGTCCGTATCAAATTTCTGGTTCTGGGATTGTCCCAGTTGCAATTTCAAATTCTGCGTCACTACTAAGGAATAACGACGTCTCTGGTGCACTGCTAAGATAAAGAGAAAACGGACGACTCAGGCGTCCTGAAGTGAGAGAAAACGGACTCCTATGACGGGGCACTCAAATAAAGAGACATGGCTACATGTTTTGTGGGCTACCCACTGTACAGTATCCTTTTCATCACTTTGTAATAAACCTAGTCATGCCTGTGTGTTTCTGATAATTACCATAAAATTATATATTTATATATTTAGCGGTTGTACAAACACAAGGCCTCACACATGCCACTCAAACTGACAGACTTGACAAGTTTTACCAACCATAAAGACAGTTGAAGCTTTAAACATCACTCACAATGCATCTTGCAAATTCCAACTGTAATCAGACATACCTAAGTTGCCTCAACAATTCCAACCCCAGTTGCAATATCAAATTCTGTGTCATTAATAAGGAATAACGAAGTCTCTGGTGCACTGCACTCCAAGATTAAGAGAAAACGGAGGACTGAGGCGTCCTGAAATGAGAGAAAACGGACTCCTATGATGGGGCACTCAAATAATCATACACATAGCTGTATAATGCAATATTATGCAATATTAACCCCTAAATCGGTTAATTCGGACAATCGGCTAAAACGGACACCCTTCCTCCCCTATTAGTCCGTTTTAACGAGGGTCAACTGTATATTAATTACAGTAAAGTCTTGAATAACAACGGTAATGTATCCTCCAATATTGCAGTGTAAAGTGAATCATCATATCGCGAATCATAAATTACCATTAAAATAAAGCAATAATAATGAGATGCGTTCCCAAGTGCAACCTTTTCATACCTTTTGTGTGGCTTTTTACCCTTTTTTCCCCTAAAGCAATACAATTAGTGAAAATTGCAAACCACATTCTTTAAATAATGTTTCTGAATGCACCTTATACAATATAAATGAATAATAATATGGTCACACACGAGGAGATGGGACGCCATTGTTTTCATTTGTGTTTACAGCCGGGAGTCCCGGACGATAGTTCTACACGAGAAAATTAAGAAAATAAGACCCTGGTTGTAGCTGTAGTAAAATTAATGTAAAAAAAAATGAATATATATGTTTAAGAACGTTACTTAATGTTAATAAATGGAACAATAGAAGTAGCTAACCACGAATGGACAAGAAGGAAAAAAAAGAAGAAGAAAAAAAAAGAGATGGATTGGGAACGCCAACATATACTTGCGCATTTAAGGATTCCGCGTCATTTATCTTTTTAAGAATATGTACAAAAGATTCATTATTGTTTATTACTGAATATGTATTTGATTGACTTAATCTTTATACAGGTTGTACCTCTCTAGTCCGGCAACCTGGGGACCTGACCGGTGCCGGACCATGGAAATTGCCGGACCATGGATATTCACCCTTTTCCTGGATAGATAGTGACTTGTGCTTATGCCTAGAAGCACTAGCACCACTTTCTCTACGTCATGGTCTCTTTGAAGACATATTGAAGGGCTAAATGTCGTATAGTAGCTTCTCAAATTTCGCGAGTTTTTAATTATTAATGTATTTTATTGGAACACAAAAAAATAAATACAGTTGTACCCCACTTAACGCGGTCAATAGAACCCAGAGGGTCCCGCGTTAAGTGAAATCTGCGTTAAGTGAACAACAGAGCATATGGGATTAATTCCAATAGAAACCGGCCCGACCCCCAAACTCCACTTTTTGACGACACATAACTATGTTGTAGCAAAAATAACATCTTAATTTTATGATGGTACATGCACACAATTAATACTAAGAGAAATAGAGAAATACAGTCGCCAAGTTAATGTCCATTCAAATAATGGACTCAACTCCCTCCCCCTCTTCTCACACTACACTGCTGGCTCTTCCCTCTCTGAGAAATTTTTGGGGGAAAACCACTAAATTTTAATAAATAATACCTCAAACTAAAGTTAGGATAATACAATTAACATTGCTGGATTCCTTGTAAGACCAGGAATATTTTGAATATAAATGTCATATATTTTGCACAAAAGATAACATAGTTACTCAGAGAAAACATTTTATCTAAAATTTGTATGTCTAATGCAAAATATATGATGTTTATATTCAAAATGATCACCAAATTATAAGAATTCCAGCAATGTAAATTATATTCTGGCCGGGTAATTTGTATGAATTTTATGAGCTAAAACAAATATCTTCAGTTAATAAAAAAAAAAAAAATATTCTTCAGGACACTATCTGTCAATCAAAGTACCCCACCTTGCCTCCCCCCCTCTTCCAACCGCGCGGTCAGTCCCAACCCTCCCCCCCCACCCCCCACCAATCCTCCCTTCAAGAGATGTTGGGTGAAAAAAATAAATTTTAACATTTTGTATTAAATAATACCTCAGATTAAAGTTAGGATAATATAATTGACATTGCTGGATTCCTTGTAAGACCAGGAATATTTTGAATATGAATGTCATATATTTTGCACAAAAGAGAACATATCTACTCAGAGAAAACATTTTATCTAAAATTTGTATGTCTAATGCAAAATATATGATGTTTATATTCGAAATGATCATCAAATTATAAGAATTCCAGCAATGTAAATTATATTCTGACCGGGTAATTTGTATGAATTTTATGAGCTAAAACAAATATCTTCAGTTAATAAAAAAAAAAAATATATTCTTCACAGGGTAACAGATGGTCGGTCGGTCCCTCCCTCCCCCCACCCCCCACCAACCGTCCCAAGGAGATGTGTGGGAAAACCAGAATATTTAACTTTAGTAATAAATAATACCTCAAACTAAAGTTAGGATAATATAATTGACATTGCTGGATTCCTTGTAAGACCAGGAATATTTTGAATATAAATGTCATATATTTTGCACAAAAGATAACATATTTACTCAGAGAAAACATTTTATCTAAAATTTGTATGTCTAATGCAAAATATATGATGTTTATATTCAAAATGATCACCAAATTATAAGAATTCCAGCAATGTAAATTATATTCTGGCCGGGTAATTTTTATGAATTTTATGAGCTAAAACAGGCAGTCAGGCAGGGTGGCGGGTGGGGCAAATCTAAAAATAGCGTCTCGAGCCGGACACTCACCGCGTATATGTGGAAAAAATCCGTGTGAAGTGAAAGTTCAGCTCTGGCGAGGCACCGCGTATATGAAAAAACGCGTTAAGTGAAACGGAGTTAGGCGGGGTAATACTGTAAATAAAAATTTTGACGGCGGAAACTTGAATTTCGACGGGTTTGAACGGCCCGCCAACGTGCAGACGATGTGCATAATCGTGTAAACAGTGTCATTTCTCTTATGTACAAAAGATTCATTATTGTTTATTACTGAATGTCTTTTTTATTGAATTAATGTTTATGTGTGCAAAATGCGCAATACAATTCATTAATAATACGTAGAAAATTAAAACACACGAGGAAATGACACAGAATTGTTTTCGTTGATTACAAAACCAGTGACTGACTGGTTCTACATATAAACTGAAGAAAATAAGACCTTGGTTGTAGCTGTAGTAAAATTAATATGGTTGTTTTAAGTAATATTATTTAATGTTAATAAATGGAACAATAGAATTAGCTAACGATAATGGTAAAGAAAAAGAGAGATCGCATATGTAAGTGCGCATGCGCACACGTGAAAACATATCGTCATTATTTTACATAAGAATATGAAAGCAACACTTATTTACTGTTCATATATATTTTAATTAATGTTTCTGAATTTGTTTTTATTGAATTAATGTACGTGTGAGCAAAATTAACAATACAATTTATTAATAATACGTGGAATATTAGAGGAGACGAGACGGCTGCCGGCATTGTTTATGTTAAAGCTTATGAAACCAGTGACTGATTGGTTCTACATATAAAACTGAAGAAAATAAGACCCTGAGTTTAGCTGTAGTAAAATTAATGTAAAAAATTAATATGGTTGCTTGAAGTACCTGTAATGTTTTTAATGTTAATAAATGGAACAATATAAGTAGCTAACCATTAATGGTAAAAAAAAAAGTGAGACTGCTCGTATGTAAGTGCACACATGTGAAAACATATCGTCATTACTCTACATAAGAATATGAAAGCAACACTTATTTACTGCTCATATATATTGAAGGGTTAAATGTTGTACTCTGTATAGACAAGCAGAGAGAGAGAGAGAGCAGCCGAACTGCCGGATGTAAACAAACCTTAATTTCCCGCGGCTTTTTTTTTTTTTAAGGGGATTAGCCCACCCGGGCATAGGTCACTGACCCACATTGGGGCCTGAGGGGCAAAAATTTAATACTCCTGTAATAATAATAATAATTCAGATAAGGAAAAAAAAAAAGCTGCCTATCTACCTATTGGACAAACTAAAATCGTTCCGGACCACGGGAGTTTCCGGACCACAGAATGCCGGACTAGAGAGGTACAACCTGTATATGCAAAATGAACAATACAATTCATTAATAATACGTAGAATATTAAAACACACAAGATGATAAGAGACGGCATTTTGTCAGTATTTACACCCACAATGTCAGTATCCACCTGAAACTGAAGAAAATAAGACCCTAGTTGTTGTTGTAATAAAATTAATGTAAAAAATATGCATGTTTTAATTACTGTTATTTAATATACAGTAGAAGTAACCACTGATGTTAAAGAAAAACGTGAGACTGATAGTGGAACGCCAATGTATACAGTACGTGCGCACTCAAGGAAACATAGTCATTTATCTTCAGAATATGTACAAAAGATTCATTATTGTTTGTTACTGAACATGTATTTGATTGAATTAATGTTCATATATGTGAAATGAATAATGTAATTCATTAATAATACATAAAATATTAAAACACAAACGAGGAGACAAGACGGCATTGTTTTCGTGAGTGACGATGGTTCTACATAAGAAACTGAAGAAAATAAAACTGGTTGTAGCTGTAGTGAACTTAATTTAAAAAATGGATTACCTGTATGTATGTTTTAAGTAATGTTATTTAATGTTAATAAATGGAACACTAAAAGTAGCTAACTATTAATGGTAAATAAATAAAGCGAGATGATTGGGAACGCCAAAGTATGAACAGTAAGTGCGTACATTTGAATACATATCGTCATATCTCCCCATATGAATATGAAAGCAACACATATTTACTGTTCATTTATGTTTTGAATAATATTTACGAATGTAAAACAAAAATTGTACTCACCAATGGTGGAAAAGTCTAAAACTTAAGGACAGCCAATGAATATTGTGCGAGTTTTTACTCAGATGATGAAGTCATCATGTTAAACTCTGGCTGAAGCTGTAGCTCTCCATAAAGCTGTTGCTGAAACCGTTATTGAACCTGAAGTTGATGTTGAAGCTGCTTATGATGCTGAATTTGATGGTTTGGGGAATAAAAGCTGTCGAAAGAACCTTGCACTGCTGCTTTCTTTTCTCATTATACATCTTTATGTAGAGGTCATTTGCATTTATTTAAATTTTAATGCTTTGTTCTGTTAATGGATGCACTTCAGAAAATATGTTCATTGCTTGCTCCATATAATATCCACAGACCTCTCACCTTTTTCATATCGTTTAAACACATCTTGTTTCTCGGCTTTAGAAACAACACTACCATCTCTTGCTCATGTTGAGTAGGGATGCAAAAATGCTGTAAGAAACCTGAGAAAGTTTTTCTCCTGTTCCTGTTCAGATGCTTGAAAACAAATGGACCGCCAAGCTCCGACTGTGGTTTACTGGCGATGCGCATTACCACTCATTAGCCAAGCAGTTTCTTTCCTGAAGGCACTCTTCATTTTTTTTAGTATTTTTTTTAATAGATATCGGGATTTAGTTATTATTTATATGAAAATATAATTTTATTTTATTTTTATTATATTTTGGCCGTAAATACGAATGAAATAAGGACGTAAATTGAATTGGGTGCTAAATTATCTAGGATCTTATACAGCTCCTCCCCGACTTACGACCTACTCGATTTCTGTCCACCCGCACTTACGACCTGCCTCAGTCATACCAAAATTTGGTAAAATTACATATTTTTGAGTCCCAAAGTCAGTGCACAGACAAAATTTTCATCTGTAATTCACTTTAAAATGGCTGGCAAGCTTAAAAGTAAGTGTTTTGTGGTGCTGAGAAGAAAAAGAGACACTCATTTAGATTTTCTATGTATTATTTAAGCATTTTCGACTTACGACGTGGAAGTCGGTCCCTAACCCTGTCGTAAGTCGAGGAGGAGCTGTATATGAAAAGTTGTTTGTCGAACCGTTGTTATCAGAGGCTTTACTGTAGTCCTAACAACCCTATGAGAGTCAATTAGGTTGAAATTAATAAGTTGTTGAAGGTGATTCTTTTGGAAATAGACACAGTACTGTACATTAGCAGTACAGTATATAAAGGGAGACCTCGCTTAACGTCAGGATTACGTTCCTAAAAATGCGACGTTATAAGAAACATCGTTAAATGGATCAATTTTCCCCACAAGAAAGAGATAAAATACAGGAGTTATGTTCCTGAGCCTCCCTTTGCCCCATGAATAACGGTACATACACAGAAAATCATTGCCATTTCTATAGAAAATAGTGCATACATACATACTTACAGTGATTTCTGCTATAACGCGTGTTTTGATAACGCGATTTATGAATTAGGAACGATATTTGTATAACGCGAACGCTTGTTTGCTATAACGCGATTTTTGCTTACTATTTCTCCAATTTTGTGAATATAGCAAAGAAGAATATCAACAAGAAGCGTTCCGGTGATAAAATTCCTGGTGATGATCGTAAAAGAAAGGATATAACACTAGAAGAGAAGCTCGATTTTATCAACCTCAAAATCACCCTTCTCCCCCATCAAGTAAAGTGTTACATTTACTGTATGATTTCATTATTAGATATGAATGTAACATTTATTTAGACCGTGCTATCCTTTGTGTTAGGCTAACTACTAAATTTTTTCGATTTCGAGTAATCTGCACCTAACCCTATTTTCTCCATAAGCCCTGTTATTTCTATTACGCGATTTTCTATAACACGATATTTTACAAGAACACAATTATCGCGTTATAGCAGAACTACCTGTACTAAGTTTGTATTGGTACTCACCGATGGGCAGAGGTGGTAGAGCGAGTGTGTGGTGGGTAGTGAAGCATGGCGGGAGGGGAGGAGTGTGGCGGAACCGGAGGAGGGCGGGAGAGGAGGGGGGTGGTGAGTCGCGAAGATTGTGCTGAGCCGAGAGAGGGTGATACGCCATAGAAAGTAGTCTATGACGATGCAAAACGACGAAGTATCAGATCACCGGGACGTTAAACGAATTTTTGGTCTCTTTAAGTTTAGCGATGTAGTATCGAACCAATGTTAAACGGGATGACGTTAAGCGTGGACTACCTGTATCATACAGTACAGTTGCAGTAATCAGGTTAAACATCTGTGGGGGAAAAATATAAAAATATTGTACCATTCAAACTGTGATATGGTAACCAGCAGGACAACACAATACAAACCACATACCAAAAAAAATAAATAAATAAAAAGATAAAAAAAGACTACAGTACTGTATACCTTGAAGTCTGCAGCTCCTGCAGCCAGAAGTATGTTATTGGGGTGCCAGTCCAAGGTGGTGATGGTGGACCTAATGGGCTTCTTGATGTGCTTAGACACCCACCAGTTGTTCTCCTGCTCGAAGTAACACACAGATATCAGACGTGCTCCTGACCCTACAGCAAACTTGTTTTCTGTGGATAAAAAAATCAAAATCAAAATACTGTACTGTATAGGCAAAGCTAACCCAAATTCATTAACATATTTAGGAGAGTTAATGATTCAAAATGTGTCCAAGTTTTTGTTGTGTTATATCCACATAAACAGCTTCATCAAGATACTTTCCCATTTGCCACATTCGCAAGATGCCTTCATGAACACACACACACTTATGGACAACCATGTCCAACATCAATGATATTCACACACACAGAGTCTTATCTCTCTTTGAAAAAACTGACACCCTTTCCTAGGGAACTGTACTTTTAAGATATCTTAACAAAAAAAAGAAAAAAGAAATCTAGATCTTTCATAAAATTGCAGATACAAAATAATGTAGTTGCCCCCCAAAACTATAATACTGTATGCGTTTTTCATGAAATACAACTCAGATAAGGGTGTGTGGCATGAATATGGTATACTATACAGTACTTGGAAGGCTCCACACAGGCTACCCAACTGTACCAAGAAACTACACACAAAATAAAGTGTTTAGTGTATACAGTATGTACTGTGTTACTCAACATATGACAAAGTACAATAACAAACCAACTGCCTGACCAGTTATTTAATAAGCTGATGAGTGGTGAAATTATAAATAAATAATATATACTGACCATTAGGGGACCACTTGACACACGTGGCAGCACGGTTGATGCGCAGCAGCACAAGAGTTGGACTCCACTTCCCATCCATTGCACAAGTCCACACATAAGCATTCCGATCCTAAAAGTACATACACAGTACAGTATTACCTTAAAGCTCATGGTTTTAAAGCTTGCATCCCTCGAAAACTCACAGATTGACATGGAAAATAAATAAAAAAATCTGAGGCTGTGTGCCAGGGATCAAGAGGAATCAACACTACAGGACATTACAGAGTACAGGTTGACAATCCCTTATCCGAAATCCTTGGGGCCAGAGGAATTTCGGATTTCGGAATTTTTCGATTTTCAGAATAGATAGTTTTTTTTTTTTTTTTAATGTGTATTAGCCCACCATTAGCCACCGGGCATAGATCACTGACCCACATCAGGGCCGGGGGATATAATAAAAATTATAATACTAATTATAATAATAATAATGATTCATAGGTCTAGGTCGTGTTTCACACTTACGATCTTTTTTTTCATTCTTGTATTTATTATTATTATTTTATTACAGGTTGACTATAAAAAATCCGGCAACCTCGGGACCTGAGGAGTGCCGGATTTTCGAAAATGCCGGAAAACTGATGGTTATATTTGCTGTATAAGTTTAACAGAAAATGACTACCTGTACAGTCCTTTAAACAAAGAAAATTAAACACTAAATGAAAAGCAAATGAAATTTTTTTATATATGCTGTATACAGTATATTTAACAGAAAATTACTACCTGTACAGTCCTTTAAAAAAAAGAAAGAAAATTAAACACTATACAGCAGCAATTAAATGATAAAATCAGAAGGATGAGCATGAATGCTTGTTAGCAGGTGCAAGCAAGACCCAACAGCTGATTCTGGAGTACAGCGCTATCAAAACATAAACGGCGTGTCCAGAAAACAATGGTGCGCCAAGGCAGGAAATTTGAAAATGCGCTCCGAAATCCATGCCGGAAAACTGAAGGTTCCGGTTTATCAATTGGCGGATTTTTGATGGTCAACCTGTATTACAGTACTCCTGTAATACAGTTAACCCTCACTTTACGCGGTCCCGCATTCCGCGTTTCCACGGTGCCTTGCCAGAACCTAACGTGCTCACATTACGAGGTACGTGAACCCCATTACGCGGAGTGTGTCCGGCGCGACGCTATTTTTAGATTCGCCCCACCCGCCTGCCTGCCTGTGCTCCTCGCCTCTCCCTCCTCCTCCCTCCGCTTGGGCAAGCCGCGCGGTAAGGTTGCGCAGTGTGTGTCTTTGTTGCGTTATCACCGACGTCATATGACGTATCGGACTGTGATTGGCCATGCATCCCTACCCCCCTCTGCTGCCTGCTGTAATTGGCTTAAAGTATTATGACGTGTCCACCGGGAGGCGGCCTTGACCTAGCATGGGTTTCTCCTCAGTGCCTCATTGTTCATCAACTTCCATCGGTTCTACCAGAGAAACCTTTCCTTACCTGGACCCAGCGGCACTAAGCCAAAGAAGATACGACGTTCCTTAAGCTACGAGGTGAAGTATACCATCATCCAAGAGTTGGAGAAAGGAACAAGGCAGGTTGATTTGGTGCGCCAGCATGGTGTGAATGAATCTACGATTCTAACAATAAAGAAGGATGCAGCCAAGATAAAGGAGCACATGAAGATCACAAAGTCTACAGGTGCTTCTATGATCAAGTATTTTCACAACCAAGTGCTTCTCAAGACAGAAAAATTACTTGTGAGGTACTTGGTGCATCAGGCGCGACGGAACATGGCGGTTGACACGTGCTCTGTTAAGGACTACGCACGTGAACTGTACATGGCAGTGGCACGAAAGATGGGAATTACAGAGCCCAAACCCTTTAATGCTTCCTCTGGGTGGTTACAGAGGTTTAAGATCCGGAACAAGATCACCAATATAAACATTGGTGGTGAAGAAGCGAGTGCTGACCGTGCTGCGGCTCGGGAATTTCCTCCGATTTTACGTGAGATTATGGAGGAAGGACAGTACAGTGACAACCAGGTGTTTAACATGGACGAATCTGGTCTTTTCTGGAAAAAGCTACCTTCCAAGTCCTTCGTTGTAAAGAATGCCAGTAGGATTCGGAACCGGAAGATGCAGAAGGAACGCATCACCGCCCTGTTTACCACCAATGCCTCCGGTACCTGTAAGCTCAAGTTATCGGTGATCCACAGAGCACGCAAGCCGCACGCCTACAAAACCATGGACATGACCAAGCTAAATGTCCACTGGCTGACCGCACGTAAGGCGTGGATGTTCTCTACACTGTCCCTCTCCTGGTTTGATGACTGTTTTGTTCCCGATGTAAAGAAATTCTGTGAGCGACAGAATGTGCCATTTAATATTTTGTTGCTGCTGGACAACGCACCAGGACACTCGCCCCTACTGTTAGATCGTCACCCCAACGTAAAAGTGATCTGCCTTCCTCCCAACACTACATCTATATTACAGCCAATGGACCAAGAGCTAATCTGTAATGTAAAAGCTGCATTCTCAAAAAAAAAAATTCAAACTCCTGAACGACTACACCAACACCAGGGAAGAGTTGCATAACCTGAGTGACACCACCACCGATAGCAAGAGTGAAGAAGATGAGGATCAACAGTTGGCACAGCAAAAAATACTGTTTAAACAATTCTGGAGAGTATTTAACATCAAGAAAGCTGTGGACTTCTTGGTGGAGTCATGGGATCAGCTGTCTATTGCTACAATACGTCACGCATGGAGACATGTGTTGCATGGAATACCAGGTGAGAGGAGGAGTCAATCTGTGACTGGTGAGGTTCAGAATGTTGCAGTAGCAGTGGACCTTGCCAGAGAAGCTGCGCAGACTGTTACAGTTCCAGGCTTCTCCGAGACCACCAACGACGACATCCTGGAGGTGATCAGAAATCCTGAAGTGACTGCCGACGAGATGTTGGAAGAAGATCACGTCAGTGAAGAGGAGGAAGAAGGTGCGTCATTCTCCGAAGAACACAGTTTAACTCATAGCGATATTAAGGGTGCCATGGAGTGTGCAGAGAAAATGAAGTTCTTCCTTTCCTGCGACAATGACCGCTATGAAGTCTTCCATACCCGGCTGGTGCAGGCTATGGAGCCGTACATCACGGTGTATCACCAGCCGTCAAAAAAGCATAACCGAGTTCTTCGCCCGCAACCCACCACAGCCAGCCCAAGCCAGTGATAGTGACAGTGAAGATGACTTTGAGGGATTTGTCAGGGAAGCCCTGACAACTGTAAGTGACAGTGATGGTGCTTCACCTAGTAATGGTGATTCACTTGAGGGCCAGTAATCTGCTCTCTGCCTCGGAACCAGCCTCCATCCCCGTATGCCGACCCATCTCTTCTACTACCATAAGTGTTCCACCTAAGTTTTAGTTTTTCTAACCTAACCTTTATTTTTCCTATGTTAACCTTTATTTTTCCTAACCTAACCTCTTCTATATTACTTGTTTTTTCATACCATCATAAAGTTAAGATAAAATTTTTACTACAACATAGTTGTGTGTCGTCAAAAAGTGGAGTTTGGGGGTCGGCCCAGACTCCATTTCAATTAATCCCATATGTTATGTTATTCACTTTACGCGGGACCCTCCGGGTTACATTAATCGCGTAAAGTGAGGGTTAACTGTATTATTATTATTAATGTTATCATTTTATTTTGGTGTATTTTTATTAAAATTCTTATTTACTCTGAATAATTATTATTATTATAATTATTATTACTATTACATTCCCCAAAAGGCCTGATGTGGGTCAGTGATCTGCTTCTTGGGTGGGCTGTCCCTGTTTAAAAAACAGGAAAAAATAAAAAAAAAAAAAAAATTACCAAAAAAAAAAAAAAAAAATTTGGTTTTCACAGCTTTTCGGTTTTCGGAATTTCGGATAAAGGGTTGTCAACCTGTACCATATTTCCCAGGTTATAAGATGCACCCTATAATTAGCAAGGTATATTTTATATTTTTTGTTTTACATGTATTGAGCTGTACTGTATTGTACTATATATCTTTAATTTTGTTCTATAATTCAGTCCCAATAAAACAGAATTTTCTTAAGCAATTGCATTCATCTACAAAACTTTTTTCCTTTTTAACCTCCTCACTACCCTGTATTTGGAAACCACTTTTAATATTTTACTCGGCTAATGCCAGACAATTTTATTCAGCAGAGTGTGGACCCCGTGCACAAGTGGTTAAGGTGACACAATCAGTACAAACCTTCACACCAAGAATAGCTTCCCATTATTACCAGGAACTATATAACACAACATAGAAAATATCAGCTGCTCGTGAGGGTTGTTATAAGTTCCACTCCACTTGCTAAGTAAAAAGTGTGGTTGATAGATCTGTTAAGTACAACCATAGAGTGAAAAAATGTATATGCTACAATACAAAACTAACTGAACCAAAAAAGATAAAGTTAAAGTCTTAAATTATTTATGCCTTAACCACATGAAAAGGTTAAATAAATACACAGTAAACTTACTGCTCCACATGTAACAATGCGATTGGTGCTGGGAGCCCAGTCAATGCCTGTGACACGCAGATCATGACCCTGGAGTGTTTCCTGAAGCTTCCACTCTGATGCAGCTCTGCCATATATATTCACTTCATTGTTGTTGAGACTCAATGCCACTTCTGTAAGAAATACACACACATGCACTGAGGTTGCAAAACTAGAGAAACAAAACAAAACTACAGAGAAGCTAAGTAGCTAAATAAAATCTAAACCTAACAATGAAAAAAAAAAATAAAATAAAATTAACTCCACCTACTTTCTGGTACAAACTGGGAGAGATCAGAAGCTTTGAACATGTTATGACCAGAAGAGGAAACCAGTCCTGCTCAGGTATAAAAAAGAGGACTGAACCCCCCCCCAGTGATTATGCTGTATTATGACAGCTGTCTGGCTGAAAACTTAGGTAAAATTGCAGATTACAGCAACCAAAGAATAACCTAATCTAATCTTCCAGAATTCTGTGGTTGCATTTATTTTTTTATTTTTATTTTTTATTTTTTTACGGGGAATAAGCAACCCAGCAACAGGTCATTGAACCACAATGGGGCCTAGGGGGCAAAAAAAATAGGAGTAAAAAGAAATTGAATTGCCCACAGAGAAACTGTGGGCACCACGGGCAATACGAGCGTTACAAGTCCACGGCCTTGCCGGCAGTACACGGGATGCCAAATCCACCAAACATTGGCCATTAAAGTACCTGTAAAAAAGAGAGTGAAGCAACATTGAAGCAAAGAGAAAGGGATGAAAGATTATCAATTAAAGGAGGAGAGTCAATAAAATGAAATGCCTTTGATTCCACCTTATCTAACAGTTGGACAGAAGAAGAGCCACCCCCGATATGAGCACAGTACTCCAAGTTAGGACAAATGAATCCCTTATAAACTTGAAGCAACTGCTCAGGAGTAAAGTAGCTACGGCATCTGTACAGCATTCCCAGCTTTCGGAAGGCAGTTTTAGCAATGTTGTGGATGTGTGGCTTCCATGACATATTATAGGTAATGGTGAGACCTAACATATCTATTTTAGAACTTCAGAATGATTGCATCCTGAAATGTGATTGGTGGGAGATCATCTAATATTACAAAAGCTTCTTCTAGAAAAGTGATACAGATACAACTCAGTTTGAAAATTAGATGGCAATTTACCTGCCAGGCAAGTGCTATTTAACTTCATATAGGTTGGTACTCACGGCTGCGGTCCTTATTCCAGGCATGACAAGTGATGGGCACGAGGCCGAACTGGAACACTTCTGTCATGGTGTATCACTTGGAGCAGGTGTCTGTAACACTGTGTAAAATAAATGGTAAATTTTCACAAATGCACCGGTCTTTGTTCAGATATTAAAAATATGTTTTTTCAATGTTACTTGATGAGTTTCGAACAAATTTAATATTAATTTCAGCCGGAAATCAATAGTTCTTTGGGTAAATCACATAAATAAAATACCAACACACTAACAAAACCAAACCTAACCTTAACTAACCTAACACTATTTTTCCGACGAAAATCTGCAATTGACGTAAAACTCTTGGCCAATTATAAGTCTCCTATCGCTATAGCCAATAAGAAACTCCCACACCACCCCCCACACATGCGCTGTAGATGCTTAAGAATCCAACACGGAGGTAAGGAGCACTGCGTGATGGGTGGTCAGACCTCTGTGAGACGTAAACAACAAATGACAACACTTGTGAATGACCAAATCTAATAATATTGAAAAATTAATATCTCGGTTATCCTTAATTTCCGGCGGAAATGTCACAAAAGAAAAATGTCTTAGATTGTCTAAACATTACGAAAAACATATTAATAACAGTGAGAGAAATACCAGTGCAAGATCGAAAATTCACTAAATAAATTATAAAACTTACACAAGTCATAAATAAAACTATATAAATATATCAGGTTTTAATAGGTTCTAGTAAATGTCACCTAGATTTTAAAATATATCATAATGGTAAAAACATATTGAAAAAATGAAAGAAATTGAACAACACCTGCTGGTTTTAGTCATCTCTTCCAAGAATACCTTTATACCCGTTAAATATAAGATTAACTTTAATTTCTTACCGTAAATATTACAAAATAAAGTGGCAACCATCTCTATCCATTAACTAAAACAGTATCTACATGGATATTACAACTATATACAGTACAAATATAAATCTTTCACCAAGTACATGACCATTGTATATAATTATTATCATAGATATACGAATTATTGGTTAAAGGCGATGAATCATTTACAGTAGGCGGCGCCGGATGTGCTGTCCCGCCTCCTATTCTCACGTCTTCCGCCATAACTACGACCTACAATAACTTCTTTCATGCCATTAGGAAGTTAATTTGTTATATATTATCAAAATACATGGAACATAAAACAGAGTTCCTTCTACTTACCTAAATATTGAAGGATATTAGCGGACTCTGGTCAGTCTACGCTAACAACACCCACAAGTCCTGACTTCTGACCAAAACAGCTTGTGTCTCAACCTGTTGGCGTGACTTAAAATAGTTTACAATTTACATAATCAATGAAAAAATCAAATAAATATAAATAATATCTCACTATAAACTTTAATTAGTTTTAAAATATAAAATTAGAATTATTTCACTAATTATAAAATGTAATAAAAACAAATATATACAACTTGAGATAAGATTGAGAGGAATGAAACACAGCTCACGCCCCATTATCAAAAGGTGTTGTGATTGGCTCGACTGTTATCCCGCCAAGTGTGAAAACATTATGGTCTGAATATTACTGCAAACATTATTATTGTTAAGTAATATTTAGTATCGACAATTTCACATGATGAACAGTTCTCATAACAATTAAAACAAAGATTATATAGTGAACACTCCAACAATTCTCAGATCTGTATCGCTCAATAATACATGTTTTGTGGGCTATTGAGCGAAATATGAATAGTCTGATTAACTGATGTGTATGACCGTGGTCATTACAATGCGGCCGACAGAACGACGTTCAAAATTCGGCTTATGCGGCTGTAAGTTTTAACCGCGAGCTTGGGAGTCGTGATACTTTTTGGTGGACGTTGACAGCTGCCACAAACCGTGATGTCATCCTGGGCTTGATCCACGCTGAGTGCTCCATAGTCTTCTTTGCACAACACCAATTATTAAAGTTTTATACATATTGACCTAAATTAAAAGTTAATATATTATGGAGGACAAGGTAGCTTATATAACGATGAATTATTTCTTTGAAACGAAGAAGAGCTTGTTCTCGCAACTATCTACCCCTCCCACTTTTCTTCCCGTTTCTAGGCTTTACTTCTCTCCCTTCCCAGTGCAAAGTCATTTGCCACTTTACTTCATTATCATCATCATCATCGAGAGGTTACTTCCCTGTGGTACTCCGCAGTGTAACTTGATGCTTGGGCCTATGTGGTTACCAATGATAATTTTGGCCTCTCTATTATCGAAGAAGTTACAAAGAAAGGCAGTAAAGTTCTTGGGGAGTTCTTGGGTGGTAATTTTGTATTTGAGCCCTAGGTGCCAGACCTTGTTGAATGCTTTTGCTACGTCCCTTAATACTACTACGTTACATTGCTCCTTGTTGTGCATTGCGTTTGCTATGTTTTCGTAAATTAGGGCTAAGGCTGTATGGGTTCCTCTATGTTTTCTAAATCCATGCTGCCTGGGGTTGTACTTCTCTTCAAATTCGAGATGTGTTCTCAGTCGGTGGTTAATTATTTTTTCTAGGACTTTTCCCGGTGTTTCTAGAAGAGAGAGTGGTCTGTAATTTGATACTCGGATTTACCTGGTTTTGGTATAAGTCTGATGCTTGCTGTTTTAAATTTCCTTGGGAAGTAAGCAGAGGCAAGTGCTGCATTAAAAATGTTTCTGAGTTGGAGTATCATGTTGATTGGTAGATGCTGGAGTATGGGTTTGTTTATTTTACTGATGCCCGGGGCCTTGTTCTTGAAACTGTTTATTGTTTTGTGAATTTCCTCTGCGGTGATTAGTTTGATCAGTGGGGAGAAATCGTCAAGAGCGTTTATGTCTATGCTGGGGCTTGGTTGTGGGTGTCCTGTGATTGGTTACTTGTTGCTCGGTGTTCCTACAGAAGTTCAGGTTGTCTTCCTGGCTTATTTGAAAAATTTTGATCCAATATTTCCTGAATTCAGATTCTTGTTCTTTGGGTTCAGTTAATTTGATTTGGTTGCTATTTAAAATGTAGTTTGATTCGTTGCTGGAGATTCCCATTAGGTTTTTAATTTTGCGCCGGAATTCTTTCGGGTTGTGGTAAATTGCTTCTGTGTCTGCTATTAATTTCTCCCAGTTATTCACGTATGCTTCTTTGGACATGTTTCTTAGTTGTTCGTGTATGGTGTAATATTGTATTCTGGCGTCCACCCTTGTTCTATGATTAATTTGAATAAATTACTGAATTGTGTCTGTAGAATTCTTGATTGATGTGAGTATTGGGGGTGTGGTAATATACGGTGAGTGGTCGTGGGTATGTGGTGTTCCATTGCTTGGGTCACGTTTCTGTACCATATCTCCAGTGTGTTGTCTATTTGGGAAGTGTGTTTGTTGTTTAGTTGGGTTATTTGGTAGTTGCTTAACTCCTTTTGGAATTCCTCCCAGTTGGGCCGGCTGTAGCTGTATCTCATCCAAGCAAGGATCTGTATTGGCGACGTGGAGAGTGTGGCTACTGGTGGTTATTGGGCCGAGTTCCATTTGCAGGTTAAGTAGTTTTCTTTCCCACTTCACCACATACAGTTAATATAATCTAACATTAGCATGATCATTGTATCCTTATCCTTATTATCCCTACAGTTAATATTAAACATTAAGAAATGTAGGAATAATTTGCTATTGACATTGCAGACTGTATTCAGGAGATTTTTAAACCCTTTAATTATCTCTTTGTTATGGAAATAGAAATAAAATACATGTAATGGATATTCTACTGTAGCGTACTGTATGTGGCTAGTTGTCAATTCTCTTATTATTGGGCACACAAACGTACGTACATGTAGATATCTCACACTCAGGAATGAGGTAGGATAGAAACTCACAATGCGCTTTCTGTATATATATTGTACAGCGCAGTGCTTAGGAGTGACTAGGTGAGGAGAAACTTGCTCAGAGGTCCTGTAGGGCGACGAGGTTTCTGAGGAAGCTGGGTGGTGTGGAGCTGTGAGAGATGTTGTTGGTCCAGTAGCCGAGTGTAGAAATGGTCTCCATGACATGACATGACATGACATGAAATGCTTGTCCAACAGAGACACGTATGTCAACACATGACAAACTGTATTTTCCCTGGTACTAATAGGTAAGGTAAACTCGGGTAATTTATCAGAGTCCAGGTAACGATGGCAATTAAGAGATAAAAATATGTTAGTAAATAAATGAAGGATGGTCAGAAGCAAGAAAAACGCAAACACACATGAATATCTGGAGGGTAAAATATGAACGCATTCCAGGCCGAAAAAGCCGTTAAGTCTTGAATACTTTCGAGTTTGACAGGAACTGTTCAGGAGATTAATGACTTTCTTAAATAGACAACTGACACTAACTAAACTATAAACATCGGATTCCCTGAGGTTTGGGCGACAAAATAATATAACTTCAGGAGCGATCGGAAATTCAGGATAGTCCCACGAACGACATAAAATGTGCCACTCTAGCTGGCAAACTCGACACTCACTTACTTGACAAGGTTTGCTAACAATGAGAACAGTTGAAGCTTTCAACACCACTCACAATTGATCTTGAATGTTCCAACTGTAAACAGACATATATCTAGGTTGCATCACCAATTACAACCACAGTTGCATTTTCAAATTATGTCATTACTAAGGAATAATGAAGTCTTGGGTACTTTTAAGATTGAGAGAAAACGGAAAACTCAGGCGTCCTGAAGCGATAAGAAAACGGACTCTTCAGATGGGAAACTTCAATAAGAAAGCATAGCTACATGTTTTGTGGGCTATTGAGCGTAATATGAATCGTCTGATTTTACGTTAACTGATGTGTATGACCGTGGTCATTACACAGCTGACGGAGAAAACATGACGGATTTTACTCGTAGCAACGGATTTAAGTTGGATAAGTTTAGGTTTAGGAGGGAGATAGGAAGGAACTGGTTCACAAATAGGGTGGTGGACGAGTGGAACAAGCTTAGCAACTTTGTAGTAAGTGCTGGAACCTGGAGAGTTTTAAAAGGAGGCTAGATAGACTCATGGATGATAGAGAGTGGTAGTAACTCTCGACATGAGCTGCCATGCACAGGCCAACCGGCCAATTGCAGACTCCTTATGTTCTTATGCTCTTGGCGGTGGGCTATGTGTATACCTTCGTCAGCCAGTGCCCTACCAGCTGAGTAGTTCACCCCTGCTCTGTGTGTGTGAAGACGTGTATAGAGTGTGTGAGTTACTCTACCCTTACACACAATATAAACGTCATAAAAAACTGTCTCGTTACCAACACTGAATTCCTGACATGAACCCTTAACATTATTACTAGTTAACCGTAATAATAATCTACTTCGCAAAATTACGTAATATTTCCCCCAAAATTCGAAAATCTACTTCCCCGAACAGTGGATAATCTACTTTCCCGAAAAGTAGAAAATCTATCTACTTTTCGGGAAAGTAGATAACCAACTTTCCCGGAAAGTAG